TCCTAAACGCTGATTCCACCCAAAATATGAATCATTTTAATGGTTTATTCAAGAAGTGCTTCACACAAAGTACTACTTCATGTCCAAGTACTTATAGATTCAAAGGTTATTCCACATAAAGTACAACTTGCAGTTTGAAAGGTTTATTCCACTCAACCAGTACTGTCTAGCAAGTTGTGGCAAGGTTTATACAAGACAAAACACTACTGTCTAAGTGCTTATAAATACGAAGGTTTATTCCAGTGAGACAGTACTCTCTAAGACAATAGAACAATATGCTATGGCCTTTGTAGTCTCTGGATCTCAGAAAGGTTTGAAAAGTTGAAGAAAATGTTTTAACATTAAAGAATTAAAACTTGATTCACATTTAATGCTCACGCTATGACTGTCCTTCATTCTGGCCAGAAACAACATCTTTGTGACTCATCCAACTCAATAGGAGAGCCAAATCCCACAGGTCCCAGAAGTGTGATCCTGAGAATGCAGCCTCTGTGTGACGGGTCATGCACGGTGACTGTGAGGGCAGATCCACACCAAGGGGGAGACAAAGGGAAAGGTTTAGTAAAAGGTTTTATTGTACATGAGGGGAAGGTGAATAACCCAGTGAGGGGATCCGGTGCAGGGACATAGACCCTGGAGCGGGGAGGAGTGGAGCCTTCGGAGCCGTGGTTCTGACGAAGAGGGTCCCAGGGGTGGTGTACGAGGAGCCGGTGCCCGTGAGTGCCAATATCCGCGGGGTTATCTTGGTGTGGAAAGGGAGCCGTGAAGGAGGAAACCAGGGTAGTGCGCAGGGGTCCGGTGCTCGTAGGTGGTGGTCTCATGAGTGGTTCTCCTGAAGAAGGTACCCGTGGTGGTGAAGTCCTGTGGGTGCGAAGCGCTGGAGTGTCCGGAGGAATGCTGAGTGCTGGAGCCGAGGAGGAACACTGGAAACAGGCAAGACAAACATACGATTAACTCGCGACTAGAGAACACTAGAGAATACTAGAAATGCTCAAGGAGGTGAAGTAGAAGGGTCCAGGACAAGCAGGGTGTGCAGCAATGAGCCGGGAGGGCGGAAGGGGAAAGGCTGGAGGGCCAAGAACACTAGAGGACAGCAGCATAACCATCAGGAGGCCGGGCTCGGGAACGTTCGGCAGCGGGGCAGTCTCCCTGCCCGCCTGGCTGTCATCGCTCGGCGGCGGCGGGGCCTCTGGAACGCTCGGTCGGCGGGATTGTTTCCCTGCTCGGCGGCGGCGGGGCCTCTGGAACGCTCGGTCGGCGGCAATGAAGTCTTCCTGCCCGCCTGACTGTCATCGGGGCCTCTGGAACGCTCGGTCGGCGGCGGGGCAGTCTCCCTGCCGGCGGGGCTGTCATCGCTGGTCTCCCTGCTCGGCGGCGGCGGGGCCTCTGGAACGCTCGGTCGGCGGCAGTGAAGTCTCTCTGCACGCCTGACTGTCATCGCTCGGCGGCGGCGGGGCCACTGGAACACTCGGCGGCGGGGCAGTCTCCCTGCCGGCGGGGCTGTCATCGCTGGTCTCCCTGCTCGGCGGCGGGGGAGGCCTCTGGAACGCTCGGTAGGCGGCGTGGCAGTCTCTCTGCCCGCCAGGCTGTCATCGCTCGGTCGGCGGCGGGGCAGTCTCCCTGCCCGCCTGGCTGTCATACCTCGGCGGCGGCGGGGCCGTCTCCCTGCCCGCCTGGCTGCCATACCTCGGCGGCGGCGGGGCCGTCTCCCTGCCCGCCTGGCTGTCATCGCTTGGCTGCGGCGGGGCTTCTGGAACGCTCGGTCGGCGAGACTGTCTCCCTGCTCGGCGGCGGCGGGGCCTCTGGAACGTACGGTAGGCGGCGGGGCAGTCTCCCTGCCCGCCTGGCTGTCATCGCTCGGTCGGCGGCGGGGCCTCTGGAA